ATGGCACTGAGTATTCTGAGCGTGTGATGTTTTATCCACAAGGATTTTCACCTATTCCTAGAACATGCTAGAAATGTTGATGATAATGAAAAGAGATTAAGATTTTGATATCCTAATCTTATCACTCTTAATCCATTACAAACTTTGCATTTTTTGAAGTTAGGGGTTTTGACACTTCACACAAAATACATAATTACTGCTAGAAAGCTTAAAAACTGCTAGATGATTACATTTCTTCTGCTGGTGAATTAGAAGAAAAGTGTATTACAAAGTATGGTTATACTAATCATAGAATTGTTATTAGTTCTTTCTACATTTTATTACAAATAGGTATTTAGCTAAGCTTTTTTTAAGATCTGTGCTGGTGCACTTAGTTGTGGGTCTGTTTTTAAATTGTGGCAGTGTAGAAATTATCAAAGAAATTGTCTAACAATCCCCTACCTAATAACGTGTCTCCAGCAAGGGTCAATGCTTTTTGCTGTGGAATATGAAGTACTAGAGGCTGTGTTCACGATAAATTACATTTGGCCAAATCTTTTTGTTTTGTTTTGTTTTGTTTTGTTTTGTTTTAATCAGTTCATTTCAGGATATGACCAGCACATACGCCTGAAACTTCCTGTAGTCATTCACTTTACTTTAATGTATCTCATCTTCCTTTTTTATGCACATTTCCCAAATGAATTGGTAAATGCTGGAACAGTCATTATTAGGAAGAAGCCACTGCATTTTAAAAATAACAAAGGAAAAGTCAGGTACTCTTATGTTTGGTCCGTTGCAGTAGCCAAGCAATATTTACTGTGGTTTTATAAGTGCATTTTTTAAATTCTTAAAAAAAAAAAAAAAAGGGGGGGGGGGGGTTCAATTTATAAATGTTCTTGTTTGTTTCTTATTTGACTCTTGAGACCTTACCCAAACACATCAGTGATAATGAACCTTTATCTTTCATGATAGCATCTTTAGCTGTATCTATAAACTCTTGCAAGTATCTGGCTTTCTCTTAATTGTTTTAGGTTTTGTACATTTAAGTAGAATGGATCCTTGGGGAAAAACAAAAGTGAAATTAATAACTTAAACCTCTGCAAGCTACCTACTGCTCTGAGAATCATGATGTTCTGAGTAGATGGGTTATTTCAGAAGCCATGAGGATTCCAAGTGATTTTAAATGCTTCTCTCATCAATCTGGCACAGATTTCCGTGTTTTCTTGTAAACCTAATTGAAATTGTTTAATTTGCCAGATGTTCCCCGAGATACTTTCATTCCATCTTCCTGAATGTCTTTCTGCTCAAACCACTTAACAAATTAGTTTTCAATCAGTTTCTCTGCCATACTCGTTTATCCAGATAACAAGATCTGTGATTTGACCCCTTCATATTCTTATAGTTTATTCTTAATGCATTCCTTTTCCCAGCAAGCAGGAAACAATTCACCTAGGCACGGATGCAAGTTTGTGTGAACAGGAGTGGTTTCATTATAAATCCTCCAACAGTCTATTTTTGCCTTTCTTTAAGGGCACAGGATGACATAGTAAGGTCTGATAAGATGATAATACTTTAAGAGTCTTAGGCTGGTTAGGCACGTACATGTGAGCCCTCCAGGGAAAATACTACTCCATAAGTTATTTTGCTGGCACTGTTCCCATGACATGGTGTCAGAAGAACTATCATCATTTTCAGCCTACCTATGACTTTTAGGGGTCTACAAATTACTTTGAGAGAGTCTGGAAAAGTAACCTCCCTTTCAAAATGTGTCATTATTGGTACCAATACTCCTTCCTCACAGACTGAGGTATATTAATCATAATATAAAATCATAGAATAGAATCATAGAATCATCTGGGTTGGAAGGGACTTTTACGATCATTGAGTCCAACCATTAACCTAACACTGCCAAAACCACCACTAAACCATGTCCCTCAGCACCACATCTACCCGTCTTTTGAATACCTCCAAGGATGGTGATTCCACCACTTCCCTGGGCAGCCTGCTCCCGTGCTTGACAACCCTTTCCGTGAAAAAATTTTTCCTAATATCCATCCTAAATCTCCCCTGGCACAACTTGAGGCCACTTCCTCTCATCCTATCGCTTGTTATTTGGGAGGAGAGACTGACCCCCACCTCGCTACACCCTCCTTTCAGGTAGTTGTAGAGAGCCATAAGGTCTCCCCTCATCCTCCACTTCTCCAGGCTGAACACCCCCAGTTCCCTCAGTTGCTCCTCCTAAGACCTGTGCTCCGGACCCCTCACCAGCTCCATTGCCCTTCTCTGGACACGCTCCAGCACCTCAGTGTCTGCCTTGTAGTCTAGGCCGGCTGGCCACACTGTTTCTGATACAGGCTGGGATGCCGTTGGCCTTCTTGGCCACCTGGGCACACTGCTGGCTCATATTCAGCCGGCTATTGACCAACACCCCCGGGTCCTTTTCCACCAGGCAGCTTTCCAGCCACTCTGCCCCAAGCCTGTAGCACTGCATGGGGTTGGTGTGACCCAAGTGCAGGACCCGGCACTTGGCCTTGTTGAACCTCACACCATTGGCCTCGGCCCATCGATCCAGCCTGTCCAGATCCCGCTGTAGAACCTCTCTACCCTCAAGCAGATCAACACTCCCGCCCAATTTGGTGTCATCTGCAAACTTACTGAGGGTGCACTCAATCCCCTCATCCAGATCATTGATAAAGATATTAAAGAGAACCAGCCCCAATACTGAGCCTTGGGGAACACCACTCACAACTGGCTGACAACTGGATTTAATTCCATCCTCCACCACTCTTTGGGTCCAGCCTTCCAGCCATTTTTTTACCCAGTGAAGAATGCACCCATCCAAGCCATAAGCAGCTAGTTTCTCCAGAATACTGTGAGAAATAGTGTCAAAGGCTTTACTGAAGTCTAGGTAGATAACATCCACAGCCTTTCCCTCATCCACTAAGCGGGTCACCTTGTCATAGAAGAAGATCAGGTTTGCCAAGCAGGACCTGCCTTTCATGAACCTGTGCTGCCTGGGCCTGATCACCTGGTTGTCCTGCGTGTGCTGTGTAATGACACTCAGGATGACCTGTTCCACAATCTTCCCCGGCACTGAGGTCAGACTGACAGGCTCCCCAGATCCTCCTTCCAGCCCTTCTTGGGGATGGGCGTCACATTTGCTAACCTCCAGTCAACTGGCACCTCCCCTGTTAGCCAGGACTGCTGATAAATGATGGAAAGTGGCTTGGCGAGCACTTCCCGCCAGCTCCCTCAGTACCTTTGGGTGGACCCCATCCGGCCTCATAGACAGTGAGACAGCTCTCAGTGAGCGAGATAAGAAAACTGTAACTGTCTGTACCGTAGTTTTTAAGGTCAGGGTTTGCTACCTAGCTGGAGGATGCTCTGGTGGCAATATGGAGTAGGCCGTAGCTCCTTCATCCACTTCT